TTTTTTTTGTGACTGTTACCACTTTTTTACAGCTCTCACCGAACGGATTTCTTTCAACGATACGTCAAAAGATCACAAATCGTATCTAGTCGAAGACATTACCCTTAAAAATTGAAAAAAATTCCCCCGTTCCCCGTAAATGGGGGAAATCTCCAAAAAAATTACAAATTTAAAAATCACTATCAGATTAAATCTATACTGGACCCAACTATGCAACGTCTCCACTATGCCGCAACCCCACTATGCTGGATTTTTTTTATTTATCCCTTATACCTTTTAAAATATTTAATTTATTTTTCAAACAGCATTTTATGTAATTAACTTGATTATTTAAATGATAATTGTTGGATACACATCGGTCGAATATGCTGTCAAGAAAATGTGTTGTTGATTATCCATGTTATCGTTGTGTTACATCGAGGTGTTGTCGGTCTTCTCTCTATGTCAGCATTGTCGCCGCCATCTTAACGCTTCTTCTGCTATAAGCTCTATGGCGTTTACGAGCCAGTAGTTTTGTATTCGTTTTTATTGTAAAAGAAAATATCACCTTTGTGATTGTCGTACCTAAGCGCTCAGTTTATCGCCGTTGGGTCTATATATTTTCTGAGATACATCACAATACCGTTCACAGCATATTGTACACATTGGTCAGCAACTTCCTTTGGACTTCAATTGATCCTTTCAATATTCAACATTATCATCAGCCGATTCATGTAGCCGATAAGTATAATGCTTGTTTATCTATCTTTAGAAGATTCACTTGTATAATTTATTATTTGTTTATTTCATCGCCTTAGTGGCATTAGTATTAAGTGTCGCCACCATCCACATTGGTGTATATAAGACTTTATATTTCTTGTACAATACATTTAATTGTTATAATTATATTTTGTAAAATTCATTCTACATTCAAACATACAGTCCATTCACCTTATTCCTTATCCTCGTCATAGCTAAAGACTTAAGACAAAATAAAACCATGAACGTTAACGAACCCGCGTGAATACCACCGGGCGCTGTGTTCATACAATAATGATTCAATTAAGAAAATAATTTTGCAAAATGCTTTTGACATAGTTTTGATCAAAAACGATTTTTTATGATTTATTGCAATTTTTGGGTTGTTTTACTATTTTTCAAATGTTGACGACTCAACGGGCTAATTAACGTTCAGATTCAGTTTCAGTAAATTGAAATACATAAAAATCATACTTGATCAAGGTCCACAAAATTTTTTTCATCGCTGTGACTGCAGTTTTTCGCAATTTTTTGCCTATTTTTTGGTTTTTTGCATTTTACTCAAATCTGAAGGGTGACGGGGCCAAACGGACTTTAAATTCGGATTCAGCGGGTCAAAATACATGTCTGTAGGTAGGTCCGGTCAAAAGTACAGACAACTGTGTGCCGGTGTAATTAAATTGTATTGTAATATTAATGATTATGTAAATGTAAATACACATAAAACTAGTAAATATAAGCCATGTTTGAGTTCAAAAAAATACAAGAAAAATTAATAAATATACATTTTCTAATAGTAAAAGCTTTTATTTACCGACTTCAAAATAAGATTTTGCAGTTAAAATAATTTTTTTACAAACCAAGATTTTTTAATGAAATGTTGAAAATTAAGTTTTTTTTTTTTTTTTCGTAATATAATTTTTAGTATTGCACATAATTTTGTCGTTTATTTATTTTTTAATTTTAATTTTTTAGTTGTTATCCATATTTATATATCATATGGTAACAAATAATGTCTTTGAATTAAAAAAAAATGAACTTTTTTATACATATTTTATACTTTTTTAGAAATGGGGTCTAATAAACCCCCACGCGACTATGAACGTTAAAAATAGGTACGCGCCTGCTTAAGGGTTAATAACCTCCAAAATTCGGTCCAAACGTTGTTATTGATTATATTATATAAATCTTATCTATGCTCTGCTGGTTCCTTATTAATATCTCGATTAAGATAAAGTATGTCGAATGAAAAAAGGATTATTAAAAAATATTATTTCTCATAAAAAAATTGTGCATAATAAAGTTAAATATAATATAAAAAATAAAAAAGAGGATTTTCACACGAAAATAGCATTAAGTAGTCATTTTCGGCGTGAAGACAAGTCCAGATGTGAAATTTTTTTTTTTTTAAATTAAAGTACATTACATTAGCATTAATTTAAGATATATATAAAAGTGTCAGACCTTCCGGAACATTTTCAAAAGTTAAGTTGACAAAGTTAGTTTTTTGTGAAAAAGTTGTCATTTTAAATCCCCCCTTGTGGGCAGGTTAAGGGTCAAATTTACAAAAAAAATATATCAAATGATAGGTAAAGACATTATGCATCTATAAAAAAAAGAATTATATTGATATGTTCATTTTTGAAAAAGTTACGACAGTTTTTAGTAAAAAAAATTAAAAAAATTGAAAAGATTAGCGATTTTTAAATTTGTCATTTTTTTGGAGGTGTCCCCCATTTACGGGGAACGAGTGAATTTTTTTCAATTTTTGAGGGTAATGTATTCGACTAGATACGATATGTGATCTTTTGACGTATCATTGAAAGAAATCCGTTCGGTGAGAGCTGTAAAAAAGTGGTAACAGACACAAAAAAAATAAAAAAAAAAAAAAACACATCATAGTAAAATTAATACCTTCTCAGCTTCGCATCGAAGCTAAAAAATTAATTATGATAAGTAAGGTGCTAGCAAAGGCGTAAAGCATTTGAGTAAATCTATTTGAATAAAAGTATTCAAATACTTTCATTGGTATTGAATAGTATTTTTAAATACATTTAAAGAAAAGTATCTGAGTAGTATTTTAAATACAATTATTTAGTATTTAATACTGTTTAATATTCAATACTATTAATATACATTTAGCTTCAATGCGAAGCTGAGAAGGTATTGGTTATACTATGATGTGTGTTTTTTTTAGCTTCGATGCGAAGCTGAGAAGGTATTAATTTTACCACGATGTGTTTATTTTTTTTAAAAAATAAAATCGTAATTTTTTATTAACTTTGATGTCTGTTTTCACCATGACGACAAAATACGATCAATTCGCATCTAAGTTTAAATCATCAATATATATATATTTTACAATTAATTAATTAATAAATTTAATTAATTTAAAGTTTCGTGATAAATAAATAAATCTGTTCAATATCTCTTTAATTATGAAAATGTAATAAACATCAATCGTCTTCTAGGTAATAAAATTTAATAATAAACCCTCAAAATTTTTTTCACCGTTTCTTGTGAAGTATTATTAAATCAACAAATTTCTTACTAAATCTGCTTGAGAGGCTTCCTGAATGTAATGTGTAGTAATTATAATTGTTTTATTTTTCTGCTCAACGATTTCAGCAAAATAATCCCATATTCTTTAAAAAATAAAATTGTTTCACTGGTATTTTTTTTTTAAACTAATTTATATTTTTCATTAAAATATACTTTTTACTTAAAATTGGATCCAGTCCAACAGTGGGTTCATCTAAGATAATGATATTTGGATCATGAAGTAAACTAACTGCTATTGAAACTCTTCTAGATTGTCCACCACTATAATAAAATATTATATTACTTAAGAAATAATTTATTTACACTTTACTAAATATTTTAATAATATTTAATTTAGACAATTTTGGTAAGCCAACACGATAAATATATACATTAAAGTTAATTGCAAGATGTTAGAATAAATATAAGTTAGTATTATCTTTTGATAATAATTCAAAGTTCATATACAATGTATATTATACATGATTAAGTTCGTTAAATTTTGTATCTTAACAGTTATATTTCATAATTACATAGTAAATTCTTGACTTATAGGTTACTTCTATACGTCGCTTATTATATTTTTCAGTTATTAGCTACAGTTACACTTCTTTGAACGAATTAGTACATTTTATTTTCTATATAATATATACGAGTTGTTTCATCATATTCTGACATCATTTATAACTTTTGATCCTGCAAATATTTTGTGTTATTTATTTTTTAAATAATTTTTAAAGTTTTAGACTATGTTAAAAGAATATTTTTTATTATTTGTCTCTAATAAGAATAAAAATAAAAATAAAATTGTTTTTCTTATAAGAGTATTAGTGAATATGCTTTTAATGTAGTCCAAAACTTTAAAAAATATTTACAAAATACAGTGGGTCAAAAAAGTCTCCGTACACTAATGTCAAATTTTTTCAACAACATAAAATAGCGACTCAAAAATTAAATAACTTCATATTTATAATACACATACTCAGAAACATATTAATATTGGTTTTTAGAAAGATGAAGTATATATACTAATTTGTTTACATAATACAAATAAACAATTTTAGGAAAATATGAGCAAAAAAAATCACCGTACATTTACAGATGTCTATGAATTACAGATAAAAATAGGATTATAATGGGAGAACCCATATAGACTTATACGTATGAAGTACCACATATCTGCAGGCATGTCATTATTGTTTCTATAGCCATTAAGGGCGGTAGTCAAATGCTTAGCGCGTTTTATCAGTTTATACACATTGAACAATGGAGATACCTATTGCAATTCGCAAATTAGTAATTAAAGATGGTAATTCTCTTAGAATAATTGCACAAACAATTAATAAATCACATTCGACTGTACAATTTATAATAAACCGATATAATGAAACTGGTTCTTTCGAAGATCGAAAACGTAGTGGTCGTCCACAAAGATTAAAATCTCATAACAGGAGAGCTATACTACGAACAGTTGAGACGGAACTAAAAACAAGTGCACCAAAACTTGCTGGTATGATTGATAATGACTATAATGTAAGAGTTGTACCTCAGACAATTAGTAATGTCATTAGAAACGCAGGATATAAAGGTTGTGTAGCTAGGAAAAAACCTTTTATCAGTAAATTAAATAAAAAAAAACGTTTAGATTTTACAAAGGCACGCATAAACAAGGGAAATGATTTTTGGATATCTGTATTATTTAGCGATGAAAGCAAGTTTAATATTTTTGGTTTAGATGGGCGATATACAGGGTGATTTTTTTATCATAACCCACTCAATTACTTACAGAATAATAATAATTAAAAATTTTTTTTTTATTACTATCTTTAGTTACACATTATTCTTGAATTATTAACTATGTAATACTTTTTAAGTTCATCCCTTATGCCTGGTAAGGGTGTCAACTTTGTTTTTTTAAATGGTAACACGTATTTTTAATTTAATAAAATGTTTGAGTTTTTAATTCAATAGTAAATGGCATTTGAATTTTTAATAAAACTTAATTTGTTTATTAGATATAAACATTTAAAGTTTCAAATTTTTGAGTTAATATATAGGTATAATACACAAGGGATTACAAATACAGGTAGCTAATTGGTTTTTTATGACATCGATATTAGCAGGTACACAGCATTGTTATTATCAATGATAGTAAGGTACATTGTTGTGAGTTTATAAATACACTAACTGACAATACAAAAAGTATATCTATTGATAGTCATAATTGATAATAAACAATCCGTGACTGTGATAGCAATATCATAAAAAACCAATTAGCTACCTGTATTTGTAATCCCTTGTGTATTATACCTGTATATTAATTCAAAAATTTGAAACTTTAAATGATTATATCTAATAAACGAATTAAGTTATATTAAAAATTCAAATTCCATTTACTATTAAATTAAAAACTCAAACATTTTATTAAATTAAAAATATGTGTTACCATTTAAAAAAACAAAGTTGACCCCCCTCCAAGGCATAAGGGATGAACTTAAAAAGTATTACATAGTTAAAAATTCAAGAATAATGTGTAACTAAAGATAATAAAAAAAAAAAAATGTTTAAATTATTATTATTCTGCAAGTAATTGAGTGGGTTATGATAAAAAAATCACCCTGTATGGTGTGGAGAAAACCTAACAAGCAAATAGATTGTAAAAATTTGTGCCCGACGGTAAAACATGGGGATGGTAATGTATTAGTTCGAGGCTGTATGAGCGCTGCAGGTGTTGGTAATTTAGTATTTATCGATGGTATAATGGATCAACATGTTTATTTAAACATTTTGAGAAATAATTTACATGCAAGTGTTTAAAAACTAAAAATTGGCAATTCGTTCATTTTTCAACAAGATAACGACCTAAAACATACCGCGAAAAAAGTTAAAGAATGTTTGTTATACCGAGTACCAAAGCAACTTAACACACCTCCGCAATCACCAGACATGAATCCTATAGAACATTTATGGGATAAAATAGGTAGACGTCTAAAAAATGATCAAACTCGAAACAAAGAACAATTGAAAACAGCAATTCTTGAAGTATGGAACAGTATTAACTCAACTGTTACATCAAAATTATTAGAATCAATAGAAAACGTATGAATGAAGTTCTTAGGGCTAAAGGAGAGCCAACTGATCATTAATGATGATTATTATTATAATTAATTAAGTTAAAAATATTAATGTTAATTTATACGGACACTTTTTTGCTATTATTTTTCTAAAATTGTTTATATATATGTATGTATAAAGTAAACTAATTAATATATATGCTTCAATTTTTTTTTAACAAATATTTATATGTTTATGAATAAATGTGTGTTACAAATATGGCGTTATTCAACTTTCGAGTCGCTATTTTATGTTGTTGAAAAAATTTGACATTAGTGTACGGAGACTTTTTTGACCCACTGTAAGTAATTTAAAATATGTACTGTATCAAAAGTTATTAAAGATGTCAGAAAATGGTGGAATATTCTGTATATAAATATATAAATAAATAAATATATATATATATACAGGTGATTTTTTTATCATAACCCACTCAATTACTTGCAGAATAATAATAATTTAAACATTTTTTTTTTTTATTATCTTTAGTTACACATTATTCTTGAATTTTTAACTATGTAATACTTTTTAAGTTCATCCCTTATGCCTTGGAGGGGGGTCAACTTTGTTTTTTTAAATGGTAACACATATTTTTAATTTAATAAAATGTTTGAGTTTTTAATTTAATAGTAAATGGCATTTGAATTTTTAATATAACTTTATTAGCTTATTAGATATAAACATTTAAAGTTTCAAAATTTTGAGTTAATATACATGTATAATACACATGGGATTGTAAATACAGGTAGCTAATTGGATTTTTATGACATTGCTGTCTCAGTCACGGATTGTTTATTATCAATTATGATTATCAATAGATATACTTTCTGTATTGTCAGTTAGTGTATTTATAAACTCATAACAATGTGCCTTACTACAATTGATAATAACAATGCTGTGTACCTGCTAATATCGATGTTATAAAAAACCAATTAGCTACCTATATTTGTAATCCCTTGTGTATTATACCTGTATATTAATTCAAAAATTTGAAACTTTAAATGATTATATCTAATAAACGAATTAAGTTATATTAAAAATTCAAATGCCATTTACTATTAAATTAAAAACTCAAACATTTTATTAAATTAAAAATATGTGTTACCATTTAAAAAAACAAAGTTGACCCCCCTCCAAGGCATAAGGGATGAACTTAAAAAGTATTACATAGTTAAAAATTCAAGAATAATGTGTAACTAAAGATAATAAAAAAAAAAAAATGTTTAAATTATTATTATTCTGCAAGTAATTGAGTGGGTTATGATAAAAAAATCACCCTGTATATGTATATATATATATATATAAACTATGCACCTTAAATGTTTAATGAATGAATTAACAAAATCTATATCAAGAATGTCGCAGAGTTCCTCAATTCTTTTTTTAATTTCTTCTTTTTTCATATTATACAAGGTCCCATAATATTTAAGTGTATCGCGTACAGAAAGATATTGATCCAAACATAATTCCTAATTATAAATTAAAGTAATAATTAGATATTATACTATTTACACATTATAGTGTTTATTACTTGAGGCATAAATCCGATATCCGCAATGGAGTCAGTTTCTAAAATTATATTTCCTGAATCAAGTGATTGTGTACCTACTATTGAACTTAATAAAGTAGTTTTTCCACAGCCACTTGGACCCAGAAGTCCATAGCTGGAAATTTTAATCAAAATATTAATTTATACAGAATACAAGTGATTTTTTAATTTATGAATTTGAATTTTAATAATAATTTTATAGTAAATGTTTTCTATGTACTATGTTGTATTTACTATACAGAGGGATTGATTTATCGTTGACTATTAGACTTCTTATAAAATGATAATTTGTTTGACAATTTTTTTACTTTTAGTAGTGTTTTTATTCGATTTTTAAGTTGCTTAATATTTTTTTAATACCATCCCTAGTAATGGTAGCTACTTTATTTTTTTAAATAGTAATATTTAATGTTATTTAAGTTAAGGCTATTTAAGTTAAATAGACTTACAAGGAATGAGGGTTAGAACACAAAAATATTCAACTATTTATAAATTGAAAAAAAAATAATACTAGATTATTCAAAAAAAATTTTTTTTAATTATTATTAATTTAGAAAAAAACCAGTCGTTTAATCAGTTTCAATATTTTATATGCAAATTATTTAATTATCTTTCAAGGATCAAGGAGTAGACTTAAAAATATTTATAAGCTAACAAATAGAGATTTATGTGTAACTAACAAAAATCAGAAATATGTTTTTGAAGAAAAATATTTATTTATTTATCGTAGACAGCAACAAAACAATTGTTCTTTATATCATATAAATCTTATTCATTAACAATTTATTAAATCAAATTGTATTTTATTAAATTTAATGTAATTGATAAATTATGCAAATCATTTTCCTTTCAATGAGGAATGAATGTTGCGATTATGTTTATTCTTCCTAACTAATTTGATTTTTTATTTCTATCAGAAACTATGATTAAGCCGTCTGGGTACAGACCTTTTTTCAGGGGTCGAATATAGGCAATTTTGCGATTTTACATGTTACGCAGTGTCGTTGTGTGAGAAATAAATGATTATTAGTGTGAGTGTCCATTATTGGGAGTATTTTCGTCGTGTTATAGTCGATAACAAAACCGGTTGTGTACCTGCCTTACTTTTTGATTCAATACGATTATGTTGATAACGACACACGTTTATTTTATGTAGTATAAAAACTATAGTTTAACACCAGCCTCTCTGTAAATACTAATAGACGTGTCATGATTTCACACATTTTATTGATTATAAAAATAATTAAACTATTTATTTTCGACGATTAAGAAAAACTAAATATTTACAGAAAACAAGTTAAATCATATGAGATCCACATCGATTATTTTGAAGTTATAAAACTATAAAAAAACTAATTTTAATTATAAGAATTCAATTTACAAAATTACATTATTTACATACTAAAATATTTAAGTTTATAAGCCTGTTCTTATGGGAAGTCCTTTATCATTCACTTATCCATTTTCAATAGCAAACCTAGTTTCTTCTTTCCCCGCTAACTCTATCGAATCCCATGCAGTTTTTTCAGTTTGCTTAGCAATATAATTAGTGATGGACATAATCGAATGATTTCGATAATCGAATGATTAGTAATCGAGACATTTTCATAATCGAGTGAATCTCTCGAAAAATCACTCGAAGTTAAAATCGTCTGCTCGTATGATAAGAATAATCAACTATTATTATTTATCGAGAGAATCGAAAAATTATTCGAAATATGAATAAATATACCTATAGTAAATAATTATTAATTTAATTTTGCTTTTTTTATTTGTTGGTGTTTATTTATAATTAATATATTAAACTATAATTTAGGAATAATAATAACAATAATATATTAATAATGCATTATTAATAAGTGCTTTAAATAAAAGACAAGTTGTTATTTTTTTTATTTAACAATTATTACCTATATTTTAAAAAAACCGATAACAAATTTAAAAATAAAAACATAAGATAAGGTAGCAATAGCCTGCTTGACCATCATAATTAAAACACCTGATTCCACACCTAATTGATTTTTCATAAATTCACAACTAGTGAGAGAATCAGAACTCAGTAGTTTAGCCAGTTCAGGACAAAACTTTGTTCTAATCGTCACATACTTCCCAAAAATGTGACAGATAAGGTGTTGCCATGAGTAGCGATTGAACGAGTTGAAAATAAGACTCGAAGTCAACAATTTAATAATAATTCGACTATAATTTATGCTAAATAAAAACTTAAAAATAGTATTCTCTCGTTTCATCGTTTCATGGACATCATTCGAAATAACTTTTATTCGATTATATACATTTCAAGATCAAGAAATCATTGTTTTTATAATAAACGAGAAATCATTAGAAATAATCACTCGATTATAGAATAATCAATATTATTCTAATATTATTTATTAAAAAAATCAGAATATCTCGATTATATAATAGATATGATTTCAATAATCGAGATATCTCGATTATGCCCATCACTAATTATAATCATGATATTTTTGATACGTCTTATTACTCATACATGGCATATTTAGTACAGCAGAAAACTGTTCTAAATTTGTAAACCCCTGACTAGTATTCAAAGTAGCAGTAACAACTGCAGTATTTATACTATGAGAATAATTTAATTTGGGATCCTCTGAATAAATAATTTCTTTTTTTTTGCAAAAAATTACATTCAAAGTGAAATTCTGAAAAAAAACCCCTTTGAACTTCAGTTTTAAATACATGATTTGAAAAATTACAAGCAAATAACTCGTGTTTAATTGATTTCGAACTATTAAAAAAATATTCAATATTTATTATTCTACGACTGTTTAAATTATACCTAAAATAGTTAAATATGTGTATTAATTTCATTGTAAAATAATACTATAAAAAATAAACTAACTCTTTTTGAATAATTGGTTAACTTCTGAAGAAATTTTTTTACAAGTATCAAGAGTTTATGCACTGGGTGACAATGGTAAAAAATCATAAAAACTATCATCTCCAATTTTTCTAAAGAAAAAAAAAATGTTTCTAATAAATTATATTTTAACCTTGCCCTTCTTAAAAAATTACTCACTCATTTATTAAATTCTCCTCGTTACTTGTTTGAGGTATGTCAAGTAAAATGTTAGTTTGAGAATTGGAAACATTCTACCAAAATAATGTATATTGTATTTATTTTTTAATTTTCATGTGTAGCTGAAGTGGTATCTTGATTTTACAATAATGTGTTTTTTATTTAGAAATTTTTTCTACTAATAAGAACTATTAATTTTCAGTCTGATGGTGTACCAAAATAATTTTTTTTTTTGAAATGTCACTTATATCTCATGAATTCTAAGCACTTCGTATTATATTAAATATAAGTTATATCTCATTATCACTCAAATCTGACCACCTTTTTTTAAAAAAATGATTTCCTTTTTTTTATTGTATGTAATTTAAAATTCATTTTATTCATAACATCAGTTACTTAGTGTTAGATCTAGTTTGATAACATAGTGTGAGACTGAGAAAAACACGTTTTTGTGTCAGATTTAAAGAGAAATTATTAAAATATAATGCTGAATACATCAACAAGATATATTTTTTGATCTTTTGGCGTATCGTTGAACAATAAATGTCCAGTAGGTACAGATATAGATAGACACAAGCAAAAAACACATACTAGTAAAACTAATACCTTCTCAGTTTTCTATCGAAACTAAGAAAGTGTATGAAAATTATTTTTATATATTCGTACCTCACCAGATATTGTTTTATGACTCCCCATTTTTTTAGTGACACTTATATAGGAATACAACAACAAAATTTGTTTCTTACTATGTAATGATGACAGGTTTGCAAATAAGATAAAAGCAAATAATCTAATATCATATATACAGGTATAATATCAAGTATGCATTGTAACTATTTTAAGGCAGTCGGTATTGCCCTATGCAACCTATGAGCAATAAAATAGCTGAAGCGTATAACGCACATACGCGCACGAGCATGTCCTAATAACAGCTACTGTTTGAAATCCATTAGTTTGAGCGTACAAAACAACCCGTTTTTGTTCCATCAATACGACGAAACTACTGATGCGATAAGAATTCTGAAAACATATCTGAATTCAGCATCATGTCACTTAGATATTGAAAGTAGGTATAGGTAATTTTTTGAAATTGTGATTCCTTCAACGTAAAAATTTATTTTGAAAATTTTAAAATTATTCGAAAATGTAAACTGTACTAAAGAGTTAAAAACATAAAAATTTCAAAATTATGGTCTGATCGATACCTAAGTGACATGATGCTAAATTCAGATATGTTTTCAGAATTCTTATCGCATTAGTAGTTTCGTCGTACTGATGGAACAAAAATGAGTTGTTTTTGACTAAAAAGTGGTCGGTACCCAGACGCCTTAAGTTACAAAAATAAAAAGATATCAATAGGTATACAAATTTTATTAAAAGGTTTTTACTTTAAAGAAATTATTTTAAGAGATAATGAGTATAATTTTAATTCAATACCTTTAAGTAATATTATTACAAAAATTTTTGATGTTTATATAAAGCCTATTTATTATCTTATGATTATTGGTATTTTACTACTTTTACTTTTTGATTATTATGCATAAATGTGTTTAGATAAAAATCACGTAAATTATTTTTAAAGTAGGTCAGTTATAAATATTTTGAATGTAAACATTTAAACAGAATAAAGTAACTTACAAGATTAATTCAGATGCATGATTGGTATAAACACATAGTTATTTAATTATGATTTCTTTATATCCTTGAATCTATCATTATAATTATTGATAATTATCTTTTATGTACACTCATATAACGTTTCAGTGGTAAACTGAAGTTACTGAGAAGGTGGAAAAATTTTTGATAGGTCACATTTGTACATGTATACTACAAGTGATTTTTTAAACGTTAGCCATTCGATTTATTATTAAATTATAACTATGTTTAGAAATATATTTTTGGTATTTAATTAGATTCATATATTTTTTTATCCTTCAGTTATTAACTACTTTTTTAATTCATTCTTATACCTTATAAAGTTTTCAACTTTATTTTTTTTAATGGCAACATATACAGGGTGTTCAGTAAGTCAGGAAACGGGTTTCTATTGTTCTCATTGTTTGTAACAATGAGAACAAATTAAATATACAGGTATATTTAATTTGCTTATAAAATAAAAATAGAAAAATCCTGCTAATGTAATATCACTAATTTTAATCATTTTTTATCATAATTATACGAAAATATTATTTTAATTACAGGTAAACAAATATTTTTATTTTATACATTTTACGTATATGATGAATCTAGAACCAATAGATATTAAATACATATTTTTATGATTTTACAGTAAAACATTTTTAAAAAATAAAATATTTTTATTATTATTTATACATATAATAATAATAATAATAAAACTACAGGTCACTCAACGAATACTGTAATAAAAACCTTTGTTAAAAAATGTAATACAGCAAGACAATGATAAAACGAATCATGGTTATATAAATTTCATTCTCCAATTATTAATTTTAACATATATTCTATTTCACAAATAATATGATAGTAACATAATTATTTTTCAACTAACACTTAATAAATAAAAATAACCTTGTGCTAAATTTTTTACCTTCCCATATTTTTAGATTCAGAACGGTCTGGTTACTACTCGATATTTCGAAAATCTTATTTTAGTTTAGTCATGTTTAAATATATCATTTGAGAAACATCATAAGCCATGTATAAGGTGTTCATTAAGTAAGAAATCAGGTCAATTGTTACAAACATTGAGAACAATATAAACCCGTTCCCTTACTTACTGAACGCTCTATAAATTAAATTTAAGAAAAGACTAATCGTTAACGACTTTGGACCCATTATTTCAGAATTTATTACAATTTTAAAATATAGATTTGAGGTGAAACACGGGTATGACAATATTTATTATTAGATATTTCTTAGACACACCTTTCCTCCCGCTTAGGTAAAAAATCTTAATAGCTTCTGAAATAATTAGTCCAAAGTTGTTATCGATCAGCCATTTAAATTTAATAAATATGGGGCTAATGATATTTTTCAAATTATAGATTCAAATATGATTAAATTAAAATAAGATTTTATAGAGTGTGTTCAGTAAGTAAGGAAACATGTAAAATATAACAAATAATATGAACGATAGAAACACGTTTCTTTATTTACTAAACACTCTATATTAAAAAACATTGTACGTTAAGATAAATATGATGGGTAATATTAAATAATGATCTAGGCCTTAAAAAAATATAAGTATTTCAATTAAATTGTTAGCATTAAATAATAATATTTTTAATATTGATTACTTATCGCAATTACTATTTTATAATTTTATAACAAAAGAGTGAAAAATTAAAAATTTAAATCAAGTTTTACTTGATCAATCCTATTTTCATATCTAATCGAGTATTTAAGTTTTATCAACTTTAAAGTTCAGTGATAGATTAACTATGAAAGATAATTTGGAAAAATCTCCTCTGTACTTCTATTAATCAATGTGATTCTAAGAAGGTCCTAAAAAGAAAAATTCCCTCTCTAGCTTAGAGAAAAGCGGCAGCAAAATATAATTTAGATAAAAAATGTTCACTTTTAACCATTAATATTTTTCTAAATTTAATCAAATTATTTTATTTATTTTAAGTATTGATTCAAAAAATATCTATTTCTATTGAACTATTAATCAATTTTCTAGGATTTATACTTCAAGAGAAAATCAAAATAGGAATATATTTCAAGATATTCACACCCACGTTCTTGTATATATAATTTCTTATAAAACCCTGATATAGTACTGGATTCCTCCAATTAATATCTCATATTCTAATTGTACATCCACTCAAAACTAAAAAATGTAATTTAGATTATTTTTGAATAAACAATGATAAAGGTTTGATTTTTTCAATTTAAATTCCCATAATATTTTAAATACAATTTTTTTTAGCTTCTGGTCATAAAATTAAACTTTAAAATATCTTTATTTGAAAGTTCTGAAATTAATTCAACATTAAAATTTGATCTTTTGTAAAAACTATTTTGGTTTAAGTCCCTTTTTCTTAATACAATAAAATTGATTAAATATTAATATGTATAAATGTTAAAGAAAAAGTATATTGCACTCACATTACTCCTTTTGGTACATTCATGTGCAAGTTATTGATCACATTTTTATTTTTTTTAAATGATTTAAAAGCTCCTGACACTTTTAATGCTAAATTATAGGTAGAATTGCTATCCATTTGATTTAAACAAGAGTGATAAAATAAAAATGTAAACTCTTGATATCAATGTTCGTGTGTAACTAACCACACATTTTTTTTTTATTTTAACTGAACAAGAATAACCAAGGTTTAAACAAGAAAAACTAGTTTAAGCATTGTGACATAAATTCAAAACTGTTATCTATTATTTTTTATTAAAATTTATATATACTTACATACAGAGTAATTTTTTATTACAAATCACTTAATTACAAACAAAATGAAAATAAGTTTGAAATATTTTTTTTTTTTTGATACCACTAATTATATATTATTCTTGAATTGTTGTTATGTAATACTTTATAAGTTCACTCATTAAACATTTTTAGAGTATAAACTTTATTTATTTCAAATAATAAGATATATTTAAATTTTAATAAACTATATCTGTTTCTATTTTAATATTATTTGGTATTTGTATTTTTAACATAATTATATTTGTTTATTAGTCATACAATTTTTCTGCATTATCAATTGCTATATAAACTCACAACAATATGCCTTACTGCTATACTTTAAGCATATCTATTGATAAAGTCAAAGTTACTAATAAATACTGCGTATCTGCGAATAGCGAAGTCATAAATACAATAGCTACCTATATTTTTAATATCACGTATAATATACATGTATATTAATTCAAAAATTTGAAAAGTCTAATACCTTATAAACGAATAAAGTTAGACTATAACTTTTGTCTTGCACTCTATCTATATTTAACAATGTTTATAACTTCCGAAACACTAGTTATGAAACCAAAATTGTAGTCCACCATTCATTTTCATAATTAAATCATTTCTTAATTTATAAACTAGTGCAATAATTTTTACAAATAAAACATTGTTGAGTTGAAATCATTGTAAGACAAAAGGAATGAACCTAAAGAGTAGTAATTGATTAATAAATCTTAAAATATGTTCAACTAAATAATTTAGGAAATAAATTATCCATCATAATATTTTAGAAGTTAAAGAGTGAATTATTTAGTGTACACTAGAAGTGATGATTTATAGTTATTTTAAGTTATTCATATTTTAATGAATTCGTTATTTTAAGGATATACAAAAAATTAAAATTATATTCTGCTAATTGAATATATCCCTGTATGAACGAATATTTTTTAAATAAAAAAATATGTTTATTCGGCAAAATTATATGAGTTTTCTACCATGCTCAAATACTTTTAAAATAACCAAATATTTTAGATATAAATATTTTATTGTTATTAATATCTTTTTACTTAAATACTTTTAATTTATTTATAACATATATGATTATGTTTTAATAATATTTTTTAGTTAAGCATTTTCATTTCTTAAAAAACAATTTTTTTTAATTTTTCATAGATTATTTATTAAAAAAAAAAAAACAAAAAGTTAGTGTAAGATTTCAATTATTATTTATTTATTACCCTAACATTTCTAAAACACCGGAATTTCATTATTATTAAACGATTACAATTTCTATTAGAGTAATGTAATTATATTAATAATTTTTATTATATAATAAATTGAAATGTGTTTAATATAGGCGCATATTGGAGGGTTAGAGAGTATGAAGGATTATCTTTTTTTATTGAATATGCTAATTAAATATGTATGTCACTATTTACAAAAATAAAGTTAAAATCCTAATAAGTTATGAGAAATGATCATTAATAATAATTAATAGCTCATAAACAAATAAAAATATTTAACTAAAAAAAATTAAAAATTCTTTTTCAATATTGTATTTATTTCGAAAGCAATCAAGTCGTTAATGATAAACCAATCCCTCTATTTATACATTTTTTCTTTTTTAAATTTATTAGTATCTATATATTAAAATTAAGATAAACAATTATAGACATATTCCCTCTTTTCCCAGATAAATTTTACCATCTTTAATTTATTAAATCAAAATATATGTATTTAATTGGCTTTTAAATAAATATGATTTATTTAAATAAATTACGATAACCAATATTTTGAAGATTGTAACAATTTAATAAAAAATATTGGATATGTAGCATAGGTATATTAATTTTTTCTAATTATTTATAAACCGCATAACTCCACTCCCGCCTGTTATAAAAATGCTATTCATTTACAAAATTCTGGTAATTATTTTGCTATTAATAGGTCATTTTTTTAACTAGATCATTGTTTTATTTATAAGCAACTTAAACAACCATATCGTTTATTGAAAAACTGAAGATGATACTATTTTAGAAGGAAGAAAAGGATGTATAACTAAATTTTTTTCAGTTAATTCAAGTATCTAGATTTTGTTGGGTTGCATAGTTCGACAATCCATTTGTGATAAGAATCATTTTTATAAAAAAACTTTGATGAGATTGTTTTAAAGAAAGTTTGACTATTTTAATTTTTCTTAATTGGTTATAATTTCAAAACAAATTAAAATTTTAATTCATCACAGCCATTAGTAACGACAACATATTTTTTGGAAAAGGGAGATTCTCTCTAATTGTATATAGTTATAAAAATCAAAACTCAATTTATTTTATGGGGTCTATTTTTAAAAAACCTGTTACCTCTAGATGACTATACTTTTTTATCTGAAGTATAGGTAAAAAATAAAAATCCTTGAATAGCACAGGAAGGTCAATATAAGGACATTAATAATATATTTGATTTCAGATTATCTTTAATTTAAATTATAAATTCTAGTCATAATTATTATATTAGTAAAAATAATTCACAGACTACTGTGTATAGTAAGTGGTTTGGTATAACCACATTGTAGTTACATCATTGAGGACAACTTTTTTTGTTAATTCATCAAATTGTATAATTTATTTGCATTATAAAAAAACCTAGTATTGTCTCAAATGTTATTTCTTTTTAACACGCTTTTATTAGTTTCACGTGTATGTTTGTTGTTGTTTGTTGTTTGTTGTTTGTAAGTTTGTAACTCTCCAAACGCCACGCGTTATCGCATATTCCGTTGTCTAGACTAGACTGTTATACGCATTCACCCCTCCCCACGCCTCGCTCACAATACGACGGTACACTATTCCTATAAAAATTTATTTTTAGTTATCGTACCCGTACACGCGTGCTTGTCATCAATATTATATATATGTAAACAAATTTTTATTTTGACTGACCAATAACGCCCGCGTCTAATGCGCCTTACGTATATATATATATATTCCTACCGCCGTTTATACCTCGGGTATAACGTTAGTCCGACCCGCCCGGCCATAAAACACAGCTATACTTAGTGCATGATACTTTTACGTAGTTAAGTCGCATTATTTGTATAAATATATATATTCTAATTACTATTAAAATTAATATATTAACACGATTTATTCTAATTAAGAGATATAAAGTATTCATTCCGATTACGAGGGATGATTTCCGTATCGTCATTTTTCGTCACTACCTCCACGTTCCGGGAGTGAGTAATTTACGCGCCTGCTGCTTTCCTTGGATGTGGTAGCCGTTTCTCAGACTCCCTCCCCAGAATCGAACCCTGATTTCCCGTTACCCGTAACAACCATGATATTGATAGTAACTACTATCATAACATGAAACTAAAAAGTAAAAAATAAATATAGTTTAAAAAACTAAAAAAACACGCTTTTAAAGTACATCGAACTAAAAAGTTAAAAATAATTTTTAAAATAATTATGAACAAAAAATACTAGTATTATTGTGATAAAAGCGTGGGTGCTTTGTGCCATATTTTTCGTATATTGAGCGCCCGACGCTTTTATCACAATAATACTAGTATTTTTTGTTCATAATTATTTTAAAAATTATTTTTAACTTTTTAGTTCGATGTACTTTAAAAGCGTGTTTTTTTAGTTTTTTAAACTATATTTATTTTTTACTTTTTAGTTTCATGTTATGATAGTAGTTACTATCAATATCATGGTTGTTACGGGTAACGGGAAATCAGGGTTCGATTCTGGGGAGGGAGTCTGAGAAACGGCTACCACATCCAAGGAAAGCAGCAGGCGCGTAAATTACTCACTCCCGNCACGCTTTTATCACAATAATACTAGTATTTTTTGTTCATAATTATTTTAAAAATTATTTTTAACTTTTTAGTTCGATGTACTTTAAAAGCGTGTTTTTTTAGTTTTTTAAACTATATTTTAACACGCTTATATTAGTTTCACGTGTATGTTGTTTGTTGTTTGTCGTTTGTCGTTTGTCGTTTGTTGTTTGTTGTTTGTCGTTTGTAAGTTTGTAACTCCACGCGGCACGTGTTATTATGTCGCGTATCCCGTCGTGTAT